AGATTTCAGGAGAGGACTAGAAAATGGGTATTGGGAAAATGAAGGAAGATTCTTTAGGTCTTAAAAAATTTCAAAAACTGTCTTTTTAAAACTGGGAGGGAGCTTTAATAACTCAGCAATACTTCACTGTATACGATGTCGTTAGTTGGAACCACTGAAAATGTTTTAATTGAAATGCTTGCCTGGGAGATGAAGCATCTTGTCTTTTATGCTATATAAATGAAAGATGAATCTTTGAGCACTTCAAAAGTTGTCAAAATTAATTAAATATTTATAATATACTACTCCCTTGAAGATTTTTAGATTCACATCTCGGGGAGAATTCTTAGATCTAATAACTTTTCTTAAAATTTTCTTTTGTGATTATGGAAACCTTTCAGTAAGGACCTTTGAATTTCCCATTTCCAAGCAATCTGTCAACACATGTTGTCAATTTTCTCCCACAGACTACAAGAAAAGGCTGCTGACACTATTGAAGCACTCCAGAAAGCTGGAATTAAAGTTTGGGTTCTCACAGGAGACAAAATGGAGACTGCTGCGGCTACTTGCTATGCTTGCAAACTCTTCCGGAGAAATACACAAATACTTGAGCTAACCACAAAGAAAATTGAGGAGCAGAGTTTACACGATGTGCTTTTTGACCTAAGCAAAACTGTCCTAAGACACAGTGGCAGCTTAACCAGGGATACTTTCTCAGGGTAAGCAAAAAGTTGAATTTGCAAGCCAGGAATGGACTTCTGTGTGTTTCAGAAACAAGTGATTGATCAATTACCTTGAGAGCAGCAACATACTATGTTTCAGTTCCTGTTGTTGAAGTGTAAATTACTGTATGGCAATTAAGTGTGAATTTGTTCCATATAAGTTTACATCTTCACAGTCATGAGTCTTTCTGCATCTCATTTCTGGAACTGCTTTAACTGTTAAAAGAAAAATCATGACTGACAACTTAATTATTGGTTTTTCCATTGCAAAACTATTTGTTTGTGGAAAAATGATTGTAAAGCAGAGTAGTGTTTCTAACTTTTCTAAAGGAAGCAGATATGATGTATTTCTCTAATCAGAGTTAGAATGTAATATGACTTTCTTGGTAAGACCAAGACCGCAGAGGAGAAAAGCGCATGGCCCTCTCTCTAGGAAAGATTATGCTACATTTACAGATAGGTGACAGGCAATGGCATCGTACCAAATCTCCTAGTGTGCATAAAAATACTTGGTGTGTCCTAAATGATAAAGAAATCATTGACTTCTGTTTGGTTTTGATATCCATAGAAGAATAACTATCATGTATACAGAAGTGAAGCATAGCATGGCGTAAGATAGAAAATGGCATTAAAAAGCAAAAACGGGTATAAAGTAAATTATGCCTTGTATGGGTAGTAAATTAGGCTACTTATTTGAAGCTTTGTAGCTGGTACACATTACTTACTCTTTTTTTCCACTGTGAACACCTAAGAATTGATTTCTAAAATATTTTTATCATCTTAAGATGGGGCATATTTGAGTTGGTTTTGGTTTTAATATGGAATCAGCTAGCAAGTGCATTTTTTATATATTTGTAGTAAATTTGTAGTAAAGGAACAACAAGCTAACATGCGTTTATGATATTATTTTAGCAGAGAGTTTCTGTAACTCTTAGCCTTACAGCTTGAAACCCTGGGCCAGAGCATTTTTCTTAGTCCTCCTTACAATTTAAACATCGATGATCAAACCAAGAACATTTGTATATTCAGTTAAATAAATCGTATTTCTCTATGCCATCTGTACCACATTCAGCTTAAGTCCCACAGGTCTTGCAAGATACATTTAAACATATTTGTTTAATTTCTTCTGCAATGCCAATTCTGTAGACATTAAAACTCATCAGAATTTTGTCTTTGGCTCCAGAGTTGGAGAATGAGCTAAGATAGTAATAGCAGAATTTTGCCTGGATGTCAAATTCAGGCTGAAAAATCTTTTCCTGTAGTACATCAAACATTCAGTATCTTGCCTGAATTTCATAGTACATTTTTTGTTGCTATCATTGTGCACTAACGGCACTGCCCTGTTTGTGCCAGTGATAACAAAGTGCTGAAAATGTCTGTGAATGTCTGTGGAAATGTCTATTGTGTGGTTTACAGTCTTTTATTATTTGTCGTAAACACCTTGTGTTCTAGTAGTGAAGGTGGAGGTGCTTAAAATACATTAATATTAATAAATACGGTGTTTTCTCCACAAACTGTGATCCTGGTGAAACCACATTTGTTGAAAAACACACACATTGTAGTGTAACCTCAGCACACTGTGAAACTAGAGCACGAATAAACCTCAGTGTATAGCTATACCAGTAACAGATTATTTTATTATTTACATAAATCATTGTTAGGATATTACACTAAATGCGGAGTATGCACAGTGTAAATGTAGACAGTGGCTTTATCTCCTCAGGGCAACAAGTCTTTTCTAGGCATTTCCTTCAAAGTATGGTTTACTTCCTTAAATGTAGACCCTTGCAAAAAGAAAAGATTCTTTTCCTCATCAAAGTAGATTTCAGAGTACCAAAGCCCTTTCCCTTTAACTTTTTTCTCTGTGTTATGGAATGTGCCACAAAATTAACTTTATTCCTACAACTCGGTTTATCTCACTACAGCTCTTGGAGCTCTTTCAAACCAAACTGAAAGGACATTAATTATACACTCATACTCACTGGTGAAGTCACTGAGGTATCAGATTTCTGTCTTTGGATTGGTGAAGCACTGAATATTTTCAACATAATCTAGAATTTAAAGTGTCATAAATAGCAATCCTATCCAAGGAATTTCCTTTAGAAGCATATTAATTTTGCAGTATTTCATACTCATTATTTTTTCATTAATTAATTTCCACAGAAGAAATAATGCCACATTTTAAACATGTTGGAGAATTTTACAAGGACTCTTATTTTGTGTTTTGTCCCTGAACAGACTTTCAACTGATATGCAAGATTATGGTTTAATTATTGATGGAGCAGCATTATCATTAATAATGAAACCAAGACAAGACGGGAGCTCCGGTAACTACAGAGAGCTCTTTCTTGAAATTTGCAGGAACTGCAGTGCAGTGTTATGCTGTCGAATGGCTCCTCTGCAAAAAGCACAGGTTTGTACTTTACTTTGTAATTGCTTGTTGCTGTGCACACATATGGAAATATCCAAAGTCAATACTCTGTAGAATGATTGTGATAACTTACAATGATACTGTTCACTATTTTATCTTCTGAAACTGAAAAAGGAAGAAAAAAACTAAGAGAGGAGGAGAGGGGAGAATTTCTACTGGCAAGCAATTTAGATAATGGTATGCTAAAATGGCACCCAGCTGTGCACCTGAATTTGATTTATGTACATATTGTGCAAATTTTATGGTTGGTACATGCTGATAAATGAACATATTTCATGAACAGAGCTAATTGCTTCCTTTTTAACCTAACAAGCTTTGAATAGTCTACTATCTGTTGATACTACAAGAGTCTGCATTATTTATTACTGTGTAGTCATATTTTGTCTCTATTTCTAACATTTGGGAAGCCAAAAAGAAGACAGAAAAAAAGTGTGCATTATCATTTTTAAGGACTTCTTGACTGTTATGTACTAGTCCGTGTCAAGTAAAAGCGTATCCTTCCATGACTGAGATATCTCAGTATAGCTGAAAAAATTCTAGAGGAAGCAAACATTGAAATACACATGTTTTTCTTTTCAAACTGTCCCGTCTTTTCCTCATTGCTCAGGCAGAACATACATAAGCCTTACTCATTTTAACAAATCTATTTAGTCAGCATTTTTAATTGTCTGGAAGTTTGTAGAAGTTTTAGTTGAAGTTGACTTGGTACCCAATTTAGAGAGGTAATCATTTATAATGGAGAGATTTCAAGTACAATTTTTGGACAGTTCTGTCTCAATAGTGTTTAGATGTATACAGAGTCCTATTATCTTTTCTTAAACAGTAAGAAAAAATTTCATCAGAGTCGTTCAATATTCAGTTTCTCATCAGGGTCTTTCAATATTCAATTTCAGGATTTCTTTGAAATTGTACTCTTTGTCTCAGGAATGCTTTTAATTTATTAATGCTCTTACACAGCATTAAGCAATCTCAACAATATCTTCCTCCTCCTGCTTTTTCTTCCTCCTATCCGTCTCTCAAAATAGTTTAGAAGCATTTGAAAAATGTCATTTTATATTTGGAACAAATACTTGTAATATGAAGAGACTGCTGTGGTCTTTATGCATAGCGGTTGCATTGGGTAATATTATTTTTGTACCTCTTCACAGAATTTCTCATGTATCTATGTTGGTCATTTTTAAATTAACATACATTCATGCAAAATAAGCAAACCATTACACAGAAGAGTTTTTAACACTATTTTTTTTCCCAGATTGTAAAATTGATAAAGTTATCAAAGGAGCATCCTATCACATTAGCAATTGGTGATGGAGCAAATGATGTCAGCATGATTCTAGAAGCACATGTTGGTATAGGTAAGTGCGCTTTTTAGAATTATAATTTAAGTGAAGTGACAAAAAACATTTATTTCTTGAAAACACACGGTCTCAAAGAATCAGGTTATAGACAACTTTTAATGAATTTACCCCACAAATTTTGCGAGATACAGTGGTGATCTCTTATTAGATCCATGCCATAGCATTATATAACTTTTCAAATAATTTTATCTTTGAAATAGTTCTTCAGTTATTAAACAGCTTAATCACTTTTTTTTTAAAGGAATCATTGGCAAAGAAGGTCGTCAAGCAGCAAGAAACAGTGACTATGCAATACCTAAATTTAAACATTTGAAAAAAATGTTGCTTGTTCACGGGCATTTTTATTACGTTAGGATATCTGAACTTGTGCAATACTTCTTTTATAAGGTAGGAGAATGCTTATTCTAATTACGTAAATCTCAAAAAACTCACATAGTAATATCTAACAATATACACTTTGTGTAGTCTATAGTACAAAAAAAGCAGTAATTCCATAAAGAGATTTTGCTGAGTGCCAGATACAACGCTGAAATGAGTTTATTGTTTTTATCCAGACCATGAAGTGAAATAGCTTTTATATAGATATATTCTGTAATCTATGATACGTTTAAAAGCAAAATTTGCCTTGTCTTTTTTTTCTTTTTCTCTCTTACAAATTCCGATGCAGACTGTTCTACTTATTTTTAGTACCTTTTGGGTTCTCTCTACAGTGGCCTCTTAAACCACATTAGGCAGTTTTGTAATGTCTGAATGTTGGGTTCCAGTCAAATTTCGTTCAGTAAGCACTGGGAGGTTGTAGAAGGGAACCTTCAGAAGATAATTTAAGGTCTTAGTGTCTCACTGTATGCATAGTTAGGAGAGGATGAAGTTTGGGGTCACAGCTAGAAACATCTTAAAATTACTTTGCTGGGAACTGCTAGCCAGAGTACCCATGCTTGGTTATCATAGGTTATGTCCTGCTGTGGGTTGCACTGTGTTGGCCTTAACTGAGCTGTGTTCCTGGATCGCAAAATTCATTGCCTTTTAGCATTATAAGTTTCCTTTCAAAATACTTTAAGTATTTTTCTTAACACTACTACAGTCAGATGAGAATGTTGATGCTTAATTTATGCAGATCTTTCTACTCTTCCTGCGATGTTTACTATAACTGGTGTTGTAAAACTGTGACGTACATAGCTATAGCATTGTACAGCATATCAATTAGTGCTTACATTTCACTTGATGACTGTTGTCACATTGTCTTTCAGAATGTCTGCTTCATTTTTCCTCAGTTTTTATATCAGTTCTTCTGTGGGTTTTCACAACAGGTTAGTTGCTCTTTTTTCTTTACTGCCACATTTTCTCTTTGTCATTTAAAAAAAAAAAAAGGAATCTTTTAACACTGTGCCTGTTCAGCTGAGAAGCTTTCTAGCGGAGTTTAGACATTGTAAAAAGAGCAAGAAGAGCATCACTTTATGGTTTATGGTGACCGTTGCAGTTAAGTTACAGGAATGAATTTTATAAATTAGCATAAAAGCAACATTATTTTTCAGTCGAGGAATACAGGAAACGAACGTTTGGAAATGGCAATGCAAAGGGAAATGTCTGTTAGTTTTAAGCTTATTCAACATGGACAGAGGCAATTCTGAAATATAAGTAATTGCACTAGTTGTTAATTTTCAGAATCCAGAATAAAATGGGAAGAATAAACTAGTCTCTTCTGGGGTGTGCAGGTACGAGTTGCAGGCTTCAGACAAATAGTGGCATTCACTCAACTGAAAAGGAAAAATAAACATGGAAAGATAGAGGGAAACTGAACTGCTGTGCACGGGAAAAGTGCCATTGTTCAAGAGAGGATCCAGTATTCTCCTTTCAATTTTTTTTGTTTATTTGCTTTTCCCCTTTGTGCTTATCTCATTTGCGGAGAGATATCTACCTCTTCTTTATTCTGAAAGAGTGAGCAAAAACCAAAGGAATTAATAACTGGACTTAAAAAAAAAAAAAAAGGCATTAAGTTTTCAGGATTGAATTGGACAAGGGGAGATTTTAATTGGGATAAAATAATAATGTTGCTTTGAATTTGTGAAATGTCTGGAAAGAAATCTCCAGGAGGATAAAAATGACTGAACTTTTTTCAGTTTTAATTTCAAATGACAGTTGAAAACTTGGTAGGTTTTTATCAGGCATTGTTTGGACTTAGGTATGAAAGCACATACTGCTGAAAATTTAGTTGTAGAATTTCCTGTTCTTTTAAGTGCTAAATATAATTCCACCAAAAAGGGAGTTTTGACGGCAGTTTTCACAGCATAAATGATCACCAAATAGATATAGGGAAATAATTCTTTTTAAGGGTGATGTGCAAAGTTTGAGTGCTCGTGACAATGATGATACACACATGGAAGATTATTTCGGAGGGAAGAATCAAAGACATGTTGGGATGTTTCTTTGTGCAGCACAATGCAGTCATCCACAGCTGAAGAACCTCTGGAGAACTTTCCCTTCCTCCCTGCCTGTCTCCACTTTGTATAGACATGGAGGAGGTGAAAGAGAGGTTGACTTTACCAGAGGGGAATTTCGGCCTCTGCAGGGAATCACTGTTGTTCACTTTGGGTAGTTTGGAGTTGTTCTTACAGTTGTAACGATAGAAGGGGCCAATATGTGGACCAGACTATTAAATCCATCTTTTAGTTCAACTTTTGTCCTCCAGATGAATGGGATACAAGTGCAAAGTTGTGTCTTTTATCAATTAGCAGCTGTTAAAGGATATTTCCCTTCATCGTGAAGGGACAGAGTTTTGTTTTTTCTGAGGAAGTTGACTGAATAGTTTTAAATTAAGTGTTACGCACTGGATCACGTTGAAAAATTAAAATTAGCTGATTTAATTCTTTTCTCTCTACAGACTTTATATGATACTGCGTATCTAACACTGTACAATATCAGCTTCACTTCCCTTCCTATCCTCTTGTATGGTCTAATGGAACAACATGTCAGTGCAGACACACTCAAGAGAGAGCCTTCCCTATACAGGTAACATCAATGCATCACGCCCCAAAGTTAGACTGTTCAGGTGTGGAATCTGTCTCTGTTACTACCAAAGTCCTCAGAATTTCTCTGTAGGGTTGCAGCAGAAGAGCAAATACACTGCAACAGAAGGGTTGAAGATGGCATGCACAGTCTATGAACTACAATAGGCACATCTGTAGTTGTACAGGTATATTGACATACCACAATCCACACGGTTCATTTGCTACATTAGGGAGTAAGAGCAAAATAGAATCATTACTGTTCTACAAATCAAAACCTAATTTCTTGTAGTGGTCTGTATTTCCTCCAGCCAAAAAGAAAAAATGTAATGTTTCTTTAATGTATGCGTTTTGTTCTGAAAGAAGAGAGGACTGAGTGGTACTGGTGCGTCATAAGATGTATTCTGCGTGGTGTCCAAAGTTGTCCTGTATGTGTTGTTGACTCACTTCTGGTCATTGAAATTGCAGCCGATTTAGATACTTAGCCAACTGAAATACAGTTTTTGCCAAATAACTGCATGTGGCCATCTAAATTGGGAACAGTGCCCAGTTTTGATTCTTGTAGCTGCAAAACCAGTACATTTTAGAGAATGGTGACAGTAGATAATTGAAGGGAAATCATTTTTCAAGAGATAATAACAGATGCCCAAAAATCAATCAGTGCAGTGATGTTTTTACCTATGAAATTTAAGAGGAAAACAAGATATTACTGCTGAAACTCAATGCCCTCATTTTTATTCTCTCTTCTAGATTTAAAATGTTTTCAGTTTAGAAATGATCACTCAGAAGACCTTTCTGGGTTTTGAAATCAGGCAGAGGTTTAAAAACATTTGGGTTTTGGCAAGTGTCTATTGCAGTTTTGGGCAAGACAAGGCTATTGTTAGCCACAAATGGTTTTGCACTGTACGTTGGTGATCTGCAGGGAGGAGTGACTTCATATGCTCATTGGACAGCCTTGAAAGGGCATATGGTGAAAATATTGGTTGGTGGTAAATGTTCTCCTAGTTCAGGGTTTTCATTAACTGTGTTCTGTTGCACTGTGATGTGTTTTACGATATGTGCCGGGCTGATGTATACTCATTCCGTGGGCAAGAACTAAAGTTGTAGTATTTAATTTTCCCAGTAGTAAGAAAATGCATGCTAGTGAACAGTTCTATTGTTAAATGAATTCCTGTATTTTTGTGGAAGAACATTCAAGAAATGCAATTTGACCTGAAGCTTCAACTCAACTGTAAAACCCTTGTCTTGCACATTCCACGTAAAATTAGGTTTTTGTTACAGTATTCTGTATACAAGTACCCCATGGGAAATAAAACAAAGTCTCCAGAGACCTCTAGTGTTCCCATTTAAAATCTACAGTGCATCATCATCTGCGCAGCAAGTAGTGGAAAACAGATACCTTCTGTAAAAAGATTGAAAAATAAACGGGTGCAACACAGGGGAATTAGCTGCAGTTGAAATAAACAGAATTACAGGCAGCAGTAAAAATTAAATTAAAAAAAGTAAAGAGGAGACATTCAGGAAGGATTTGGATGTGAAGTGGTAGTTGTCGTGTGGAAATACGGTGCTTTTGCATGCAATCTCTTAGTTGTTTTTCCTTCAAACAACAATATGAGTGACATCATTTGTCTAGGATTTTTAAACATGCTGATAATGAATGCGTGTATCTTACTTTACACAGAGATGTTGCCAAGAATGCTTTGCTGCGCTGGCGTGCGTTTATTTATTGGACATTCCTAGGAGTGTTTGATGCTGTGGTATTTTTCTTTGGTGCCTATTTCTTGTTTGAGAACACAATTGTGACCAGCAATGGACAGGTTAGTGTTGAATTTGATCAGTCAATCAAAGGTAATTTTTAAAATATTGATTGTGCTACAAATTTAGTTTTCATTGTTTTTGTCAAGATTTCCAGTGCAGTTAATAATGTTTTATGAGTTAGGGTGAGATAGATGGCTTATCTGTTTAGCAAAGTCTGAACTATGCAATAGGAATTCTGTGTATCAGTAATCAGAGGCATAGGACTAGATATGACTTAGGAGAAATATGTGTTGTAAATTCCAAGTATTCCTTCAGTATTTACATAGTAACTTCTCTGTTTCATGCTTACATCTGATGAATATCTGATTAATATATCAAAAGACTCTTGATAGAGTAGTTATGAATGATCATAAAAGACTTAAATATAACAAGCTTTTTAATATTTTAATTATTTTTGACACGTCAGCTTAAAATAATCTATCTCTACTTGCTTTGCAGTCATATGAATGCAAACTGTAAGAACTTTTGCATTTTATTTATTTTACCCATTGATATTTTGGTCTATTTTATTTGTGTGCTTTTTTTTTTCTTTTTGCTACTTGCTTCTCTTCCTATCCTCAGCTAATGACAACCAGCACTCACATGGTAAGACTATTGTGGATTTGTCATGATATCCATTTCACTTTTCACTGTTCTTTAATTAAAATGTTAAAGAGCAGTTAAATATTTCCTATAAGTATTTCAAAATATCTCTTAAACCTATAGATAGAAATCTTCTTTATTGCTACTTTATAAGTACTTAAAATATAAAGAACTTATATAGAATATGTGGTATATTAAGGCATATGAGGTGTGGTAAAGAGCCATGAACTTTAAGGAACAGTTAGACTTTTTGCTTCCTTGCATTTTGTTATTTTGTTCTATGCTTTTCTGTAACCTACATTTTGTTGCTGACTCTCTCTGCTGTGGAAAATTTATTACAGTTTATGCTATAAAGTGTTTGAATGACTTTAGAAAAGACCCTCAAAGTGAGAGAAAAAATTAGCTGTGCACAGTTTTGTTGCTTATACATAGTGTACATGATTGCTAGAAGTGCAATATTCCAGTATCATTAAATACCATCTTTGTGACATCTGTCAGAAGTGAACTTCTAATATGTGAGAGAACACTTGTTATAAAGAGCTTTCCTAAGGACAGAATGAATTCCCACTAGACATAACCATACACTGCAGCACTTCTTTTTCTGGTACCATTATGCTTTGTGTTAGATGTTCACAATTCTGCATCAGCTTACATTTATAATCCTGAAATTTAGACTTCTTACACCTATACACATTTTGTAAATTCTTCATATTGTAAATATTCTGACTGGTTTCCTTTCTGAAATTTTCATCTGCTTCTGTTGCACACATTTAATCAAATTCTTCTTGGTAAAGCTCTAAGCCAGACTAGTGTCTAATTTCCAAATTTTGAATGTTTATATCTACAGCTAGATACCCATGTTAATATTTGGTGATGAAGTGTGTTGACTGACATTCTGACTCTTGAATGTCAGAGTGGGTTAGAAAATTAATCGGTATTCAGAATGTGTGCTTGTGTGTATGTGTAAAACTTAGAGATATTGAGTTGCAATTTTAGATTGAAAGGCTTGAAAATGTTGATGTTCAGCAGTAGTAAAAGATACGTATGTGAGTTCATAGATATGTGAATGCTAGTTGGTGTTGGTGGTTATTTCCAAGTATTTCGATGATGCTGACATCTGGAAAAAGTGAATGAAAGGTTTGAAGGTTCAGAAAGTTTACCACAACAAATGCTATTATGAAACAGGGAAAAGGTAGAAAGAAGGAAAGAGAATAAAAGTGCTGAAGCTAACATTAATATCATCAGTGATGTAAGATGATTCAGGTTAGGTTCCAAATTGTTAAAATCAGTGCTGAAGCAAAAAAAAAAAGAATTCTCTTTCAAAAATTAACTAATCTCCATTGTTGCAAAACTAGTAAAAAATGAAGAAAGTCAGTAACTTTCACTTAGAGTGCTGCCTGTGTCAGACTAAAAATTGCATACCATTGAGCTTCCTTCCAAACATAATCCCCCCAGGATGTTTCTCGGTATTTGGAAATTTATTTGAAACTGTTTGCATGCTGTAGAGTGATGTTAGTAGAATAATAGAAAAGTGTACTTCTGTAATCGCTGAGATTTACTTCCTAAATGCCTGCCTCAATCATTTCCTGCTAAACAAAACTAAGATGCCAAAGATTTCTATTGTATATGGTGTTCCACTTTGGATAGAACATGGTTGGTGGTGTAAAAACATACAGCCAGAGACCAAAGACAAAAGGAAGGTAAGAAGAAAAGAAGCCATGTTAGAAGTGATTGCAGATTGTGAATGTCATCCTAGTTTACCCATATAGTAAAATGTATTTCCTGTGTGGGGTTTTTTATTTATTTTAACATTTGATGCAAAGTGGATTAAATAGGAAGATACAATAAATGCAATTGCAGAAGGAGGAGTGGAAGTCTTGGATAGACTGGGGAACCAAGCATAGAAAAATATTTGTTAATAAACTAGATGTTAACAGTCTTAGGAAGGAATAATTCACAGCTTGAACAGATGAGTAGTATCTTGAAATAGTCCATGCTGAAAATACCTTGTGACTTTTTGAATTTACACCCTCCCATATTGCTGTGCTTAGCTTTCTCTGTACTCAGTTACCAGCCTTATGGAGTCTGGTGTCTGTGCGATGACTTCACCTTCTAAGCCAAAAAGCTGCATAAAGGGTTTGGTTGCAGCCCAATGCTTTCTGTCTAGTCTGACAAACAGAGATAGGCAAAAAAGTTGTTATAACTTCTTTATTTGATCTGTCAGCTTTTACTGGAAATATGGACACATCTGTTCAGTACACAGAAACTTAGACTGAAAAATGGGCTCTCCAAAAGAATCACAGAATCATAGAATGGCCTAAGCTGGAAGGGACCTTAGAGATCATTTAATCCAGTCCCCCTGCTGCTGGGGACGCCACCTCTCGACTAGATCAGGCAACACATGGGGACCAAACGGGAATCGAACCCTCAACCTTAGCACTGTTAGCGCCACGCTCAACTGACTGATGTAACCGGCCCCCTAAGCCAGATATGACATGAGAGTATACTAAATATGTAACTGCAGGGAGAAATTTGGTAAATGTTTGCATTATTTGAAGTTCCTGAACCAGATTCCTGTCCAGTTTTATCTGCACTGATTTTTTTTCCCTAGAGCACACAAAATATTGTTGCAAGGGCATGACTGTATGCAATTATTGTGTTAGATATTGAAGTAAAAGTCAGAACCAAATGCTGACAGTTTTCTGCACTTCATGTTGTCTTCTGTATGCTTGGTCACACGTGGAGAAATGGTTACTCAGAATAATGAATCTTTCAGCCAGTCGTTTGTTTTTTAAATGGCTTTCTGTTTCCAGTTGATAGGATTATCTCAGCCTGATTTACTACAGATAATCTGTCTTGTGGCTGGCTGTGGTCTCCATTCAGATTTTTTTCCCATGGTGGTACATTTGTGTGATCACTTGCCCATGCAGATCCCCAGTCACCTAATATTGGGTGAGCTTGTGTAAAATAATATCACTAGGAAGGGACTCTCGAGGTGATCTAGTTCAACTCCCTGCTTTGTGCAGTTGCTCAAGATTTTGTCTAGTCTTTTTCAAGTTTTGAATATCCCTGAGGATGGAGATTTGGTTAACTTTCACGGCCAACCTGGTCCAAGTATTTGTGGGAAGGTACTAGGTTGTTCCTTAACCTCCCCTCCACCAGACTAAAGAAGTCCTTCAGCCTCTCTTCACAGGAGAGCTCTACAGACTGCTTTCTTCATTGCTGTCTTGATTGCCTGCCACTTGATCCTTTCTAGTTTTTTTCACATCCCTGCTTAACTGAGGGACCCAAAACTGGGCACAGTGTTCCAGGTTCAGCCTCACTGTGACTGAATAGGAGAGAGTAAGAATCTTTCTTGATTCAGTGGACATGTTCCTCCCAGTACAGCTTGGTTTGCAATTCCTCTTACTTATAGACAGAGCATAGTATAGGCTTGTGTCCAACCTGTAGTCCACTGTAACCCCACTGCAGCTTCCTTTTCAGCGGGGCAATTGCCCAGCCAGTCAGTTCCAGTGTGTGGTGTTACTCCTCTATAGATGTAAGACTTTGCACTTTTCCTTATGGAACTTCCTAAGAAATCAATTAGAGGTCCCTCTTGATTGCGACTTCCCCCTGATACTCAGCATATTGAATACTTTTTTTCTAACAACTTCCACTAGGTCATCTTAACACTCCACTGGTGAATTTACAGTTTCCCTTTGAAACTAGGATACCTGTAAATATCATTTTTCTTACCTTCAACAACCCTCACTGATCTTAGTTTGTCCTGAGCTTCAGCCTGTGTGATTTTGTTCTTCTGTACTCGGGAAATGCTTTTACACTACTCACTTGCTACCTGCCCATATTATCATCTCTTGTATGTTCCCATTTTGCCTTTCTTTTAATTCAGAAATGTCCCGCTTGGCCAGCTGGTCTTCTGCTGAAATTTCATATCTTCCCGCAAAAGAGAGTTTGTGAGATCTCATCATTTTTCTCCTGCAAAATCATTCAGCACTCTTGGGCACCCTTCTCCTTCACAGGTTCAATGCTCTGAATAAAAGAAAGTCTCTTCTAAAATACCGTGTCCTAACTCTGTTGTGTTACTTGCCCAGCATTTCTCTGAACTTGGTTGTCTCGTAGCTGCTGCAGTGCATGCAGTCTCTGTGACTGTGTTTACCACCAGTCCTACCCTCCATTGGCATTAATGATCTTTTTTGCCCACTTGAAAAGCTGAACATTGTGCAGGTGGAGGGAAAATCAACCACAATTCCAAAGTGTTTTTATCTTAAAATGGATGTAGAACATTTTTGTATTTTGAATCATAGGATGTTCAGGGTTGGAAGGGACCTCTAGAGATCATCTAGTCCAACCCCCCTGCCAGAGCAGGATCCTCTAGTTCAGGCCACACAGGAACGTGTCCTGTCCAGGTGGGTTCTGAAAGTCTCCAGAGAAGGAGACTCCACAGCCTCTCTGGGCAGCCTGTGCCAGTGCTCCGTCACCCTCTCAGTAAAGAATTTTCTTCTCAAGTTGAGGTGGAACTTCCTATGTTCTAACTTAAATCCATTATTTCTTCTTCTATTGCTGGGCACCACTGAGAAGAAATTGTCTCCTTCCCACTGAGAAGAGATTGTCTCCTTCCCCTTGACACCCACCCCTCAGATATTTATACACGTTAATAAAATCCCCTCTCAGCCATCTCCTTTCAAGGCTAAACAGCCCTAGTTCTCTCAGTCTCTCTTCACGGGAGAGATGTTCAAGTCCCTTAATCATCCTCATAGCTTTCCATTGGACTCTCTCCAGTAGGTCCCTGTCTCTCTTGAATTGGGGAGCCCAAAACTGGACACAGTATTCCAGGTGTGGTCTCACCAGTGCAGAGTAGAGGGGGAGGAGAACTTCCCTAGACCTGCTGGACACACTTTTCTTAATGCACCCCAGGATCCCACTGGCCCTCTTGGCCACAAGGGCCCATTGCTGTCCCATGGACAACTTACTGTCCACTAGGATGCCAAGGTCTTTCTCCACAGGGCTGCTTTCCAGCAGGACGTCCCCTAATCTGTACTGGTGCCTGGTGTTATTCCTCCCCAGATGCAGGACTCTGCACTTGTCCTTATTGAACCCCATGAGGTTCCCCTTTGCCCAACTCTCCAGCCTGTCTAGATCCTGTTGGATGGCAGCACAGCCTGCTTGTGTGTCAGCCACCCCTCCCAGTTTGGTACCATCAGCGAACTTGCTGAGGGTGCACTCTGTCCCCTCATCCAGGTCATTGATGAAGATACTGAACAAAACTGGACCCAGCACTGATCCCTGGGGAACACCACTGGCCCCAGGCCTCCAACTTGACTCTGGGCCAGTGATCACAACCCTCTGAACTTACATAGCTTCGATGGCTATCCCATTCTTTCTCATACTGTTACTTGTCTGTATAACCAGCTGTTGAACCTCAAAGAAATTGTGAGATGCCAAGGACAGCAGAGAAGGGAGGTCAGAGAAGAGATGTCATTCAAGAGGATCGATGAGGTTGCTGCAGTTCATTGTAAATCTCAGTGATTTGTTAACTGTGCTACACGTGCTATTTATTAAGGAATATATGTGTGAACTTCAGGCTGATGGCATTGCTGTGTTCTTTTCCTGTCTGTATGAGATCTGAGGTGCATACGCACAGAAGGGTGAGAAACCAAAACGCTTGGCACTGCACAGATCATGTAAGAATTCAAGTGTTTCTGCTTTAGTGTCGGTTCCTCATACAAAGCCATACATGGCTTTAAGACGTTTATTCTGGACAATTCATGAAGTAGTGAACAATATTGTCTATAACTGCTTTGGACCATTTTTTATAGATGTTTGGAAACTGGACCTTTGGAACACTGGTGTTTACTGTGCTTGTATTCACGGTTACATTGAAGGTAAGATATCCTGTATTTTATCCTTTGAAACTTTCTTAGAGCTTATTTTCTAATTGCTACTTACTTGTATCAATTTCTCTCTGTAACCATACACTGTGGAATTAATTTAAATTAATTTTAATACAGTTTTAAATTAATTTAAATTCTGGTTTTGCTATCTGTGTCTTAACTGCTCAGAACTGAAAAATGTTTTTTAGCTAATTCTCTGTAGAATCCTTGCCTTTTTTCAAAGGGTGTCATTTATTTCATCTGCTGAGTATTCTGTTGCTGCTAGATAGCAATAAAACCATATAATCTCGTTTGGGTTTTTTTCAGCTTGCACTAGATACACACTATTGGACATGGATAAATCACTTCATGATCTGGGGATCACTGGTATTCTACATTATCTTTTCTCTGCTCTGGGGAGGAATTATTTGGTATGAACCCTTATTATAAATCGCATCGCCAATGTTACTTCAGAAGCAGTTGTTATCAAGTTGTTAAATATTTAACTTTTTTGTCCCAGATAGAATTAAATTTAGCTTTTATGTATCACAGGACTCCCAATAGCAGTCACATTTTAAAGATTTCAGTAATGGTAATTACAGAATGCTAAGCTCTTCTTTCACTGAGTGGCTGCTAAAATATTCTCAGAGAAGACTGAAGAGAGAAATATCAGACCTCAGGCTGCTGCTCTGGGGCTATCCCAGTAGTATCAGTCAGAAGCAGTCCAAGGGTTGGTTCAAGGACCTGAGGTTGCCTCTCTGAGGCAAAATGTCACAGAGTAGGTCAGCTTGGGGCTCGCCACCCATCTGCTTGTATTGGAGGCAACTAACTGCTGCAATCTGAGCTAGGGCTGGGGAGAGGAGCTCACATGGAAGTTGCGTGGATGGCCATGAGTCCTGTGTTTGAACTCATTGTTTGCCCCCTCATTTAGCAAAGTGGATTTACCGTAGATGTCTGAGCATCTTACTTGTTCTAGTGTTGGTAAGAAGCTTTTTAAGAATTGTGTAACTCTTGTACGTAGCTGATTGAAACTGGTGATTTTGGGATTTTTCCTATTAAAATTCTGTGTACTTGAAATGGAAATTTTTGTGAAGGGAAATCAAGTTGAAACAGGTTGACCTTCTAGTAAGATTGCCATTGGGAACCTAAATTTGTGTTTCTCACCTGCAGGGTGCCCAGTTACAAGGTTATCTTTTTTTAACCTCTTCTACTGGAACTGTTCTACTTTGTATACATGAGTAAACATTTTGAGGGACCAGAGAGAAAGCAGACTGTTGCATGGTGATTAAGGTGCTATTTAATTTGGAGAAAGGATTTGTATTTCAATGTGTGCTTTGCAAATGAGTAACTACCTGTCAACTCCTTGGCTATTCAGTAGCCTCTTCCTTTTTTTTTTCAGTAAGATCAGATTTCTGTTTCTGCAGCATCAGAATGAAAACAGTTTGCAGAAGTGACATTTTCTGTGCTAATGTTTCCTAGCCAGCCTTGCTGTGTTTTTACATATGTGACTATTTGCACACAGCCGTGTATTTTGACTTGATTATGTTTTTAGATAGGAAAGTCTAAAAATCCTTTTTAGATAGCAAATTCCAAAATTTTGGAAACTAGCAGAAGGCTGCCCTACTGGGAGGAGGGCTTTACGCTGCAGGGTTGCTACAAACCGGCCTTTGATCTTTGCTCTCAGTACACACGGCTTCTTGTTCCCATTGCTGTAGAGTGATGGTGTTTTAGTGACCACACAGCTGCCATGCAGATATAGGGAAACATGGAAGTGAAGATGAAGTGGGAGGAGATAAAAACGTGATGAATTACGTTAGGGAGTATAACTTGAAACCATCAGAGGAGCTTAGGGGAGCTTGAGAGGTATGAGGAAAGATGTGCTCCATGAGACTTACTCTGAGGGTACACACGAATGAGCCTGAGCTGGGAAAGAGGAGGGAAGTGATGAGTGGGACACTGAAAAGAAAGGTGGAAATACTTCATCGCTGTCATGAATTTTAAATTTAACATTACCAGTCTTTCTTTCATATATTGAAGTGTAATATCTATTTAATCTTTTTTTCCTACTAGGCCTTTTCTCAATTATCAGAGGATGTATTACGTGTTCATGCAAATGCTGTCTAGTGGTCCTGCATGGCTGGGTATAATTCTGCTCATAACTGTCAGCCTTCTTCCAGATGTTATCAAGAAGGTCTTATGCAGACAGTTGTGGCCTACAGCAACAGAAAGAATCCAGGTAACAAGATTTTTCATTGTGGAATTAGTTTTTTTGTATCACGAGTCTCTAATAATGAGACATCTTTCAAGGTTAGAGATAAGATTAAGACAGAGGTTCCCTATCTGTGGTGTGTAGCCCTGGTTGTATACCAGCCACTCCTGATTAGTATGGTGAAGAAAGCTGCTTCTTATTTACATGGTGGCCTACTGGCAGCCACAGAGAAGTCAGCTGATGAGAATGGTGCGAGATGGGTATATGACTCAAAACGATTCCTGACTCGAGGGGATAAGAAGCATAAAGGGGGTAACTCAAAACCAGTAGGAAGGGAGCATGTGATTTTATTGAAATGCCCTTTAAAGTAGGGATTTGCACAAGCAGTTGACATACTATACCAAGAGACTTTAGAACTGCACGTGTGTTTATTATTGAATAACTGTAGAATTTGTACACTTAAAATAAATGTGGCGAATATATAGTATGTCGGTAAGGAATATGTAGTAAATTCATACTAACATTCATATTGCATTATCTGTGCAATATCATACTTACTTAGCAGACTATTTTGTACTGATGCTGTTCCTGTCACAAAAATGTGCATATTAAAATGTATTTATATTCTATTAATAATTTTTTCCTCTTTTATATTTCAATTTACATTTTGCCTGTTTTGATGGGTTATCTCTACATAAATATGCCTTACTGTGCCCATGGGAAGAGTATTTTGAAATCTGTTGTTGCCTCTCTTCTTATAAGCACAAAATGAGAAATTGCTGTGTAAATAAAGACTTGCTCTGATGAGGCTGAAAGAGAAGCCAAGTTCCATGGGGCAAATGTCATGGGGCCAACAAACCAACCCTAAAAGAAAATGTTCTCTGTATTTTTCTCCGCAACAAGCTTTCCTATATTATATATGTTAAAAAGCAAAGGACAGTAGAGGTGTTGAAACTGAAACTTAATGTTACTGCCCTTACTCTTTTCAGCCCATTAACTATTACTGTTAGGTTAAAATACCAAGTTACCAGTGCATGTAGTGATGAGTTAGCATTTTGATGTTTAAGAAGATACTTTGCATTAAGAGGAAAGGAATAAAAGAACTTTACTTTCCAGGAGGGTAAAAAGACCCCCTTGGCAAAGGTAAAAAATTCTTCTCTCGTATCTGCTATTGTTTTGTATTCCTTGAATTGGCAGTTGCGAAAGTGCCTCCCTTCAGGGGGAAAGGAAAGAATAAGGAACAGCAGAAAACCATTCCCAGGCAGATCAGAATTTAGTATCTTTCTATTGTGATACCTTTAAGAGATGTCTCTTTTCCATGCATGCCACTTGTGGAAGAAGTTGATCTCAGTATATGTTCTACATGCTTAGTTTAAAAGTCTAATGCGACAGAATGTGTATGGGTTAATGCAGAGAAAGCAGCTAGCAAACCAAAGCCCCAAACACAGCTATGGTCGCATTTCTTACAGACATTGTATGCTAATACTGGAAAGAGAATCAATTGTGAAGCAGACTTTGGGCTTAACACGGGCAGAATTCATTTTTGAATATTTCCTAGAAAATCTTTGACTTTTAACGCTATATCCCTTGTGTTTCTTCCTTCTCTTTGTTTCTTCCTGTCTTCCAATCTGCTTTGTCTAAATAACTGCTCCCTTGCTTTAAACATAAATGATGTGCACGGTTACTTCCTACAATCTTCTGGGGAAATCAGACTAAACATCAGTGCCTTTCTGTTGAGCAGTCCACCATCTTTATGCTTTCTCAGACTTCAAGCAGTCTAAGTTTCTGATGGAGGAAAAGGTGACTTTTTTCTGCCTTTGTGCATGCTTGGCCATTTCATTCAAAGTAAAATGTTTATCATCAGAAGTTATTTACCATACTCATTATCTCCATTTCTGATCCCCATCAACTATGTTTTGAAGAAAAATATTTTTAGTATAGTCTTTTTCTTTCTTATGTTTGTTTATCTTGAAGATTCTGTGAATCCTTGTTGCAATCCATCACTGTCTCTGTCATTTTTGTCACTGTTGTTACTGAATTTTACATAATGTTTCTGCTTTGAGAATCTATGATTCTTACATCCGCATTTAAATCCTTGGTCTATGTGTAGGTGAATATGTGTCATGTTTGCATTGTACTTGAGTTAACAGGATAGTTGACACATAAAGAAGTGATAATTCAGATTATTCAGGTTACAGAAAATGTGGTACTGGAAGCCATTTAAGCAGTCTTTGGAATATATTAATAATATATCTCCTCTGCTGTGATAGAAGTAAATACAACTTTTTTTAAAAAATGTTATTTGCAGTATACATTTTGAAACTTAGTTTTCTCTATATTCCATTTTATGAAATTCTCTGCTCTTTCTAGAATGAAAGCAGCTCAAGATCCAGAAGCATATGATACTTAATTTCTATAAAAGCAGAAAAAATGTTGGCAAATCTTGGCTTACCTACAGTCTGCAAGAAAACTCCTAGATTCAATTGCAGATTTTCATATCTTATTTCTTCTCTGGTTAAGATTAAAAAAAAAAGTCCTCTTCTCCCCTTCAAAAATGTACAGTCAATAAAAATTACGGTAATTACATAGGTCACAGGCAAAATACACAAAGTTTTTTTCACTGTTCAAAATCCAGGCTAAAATTGGCTTTTAAGTGTCTTAGGATTGGTTTGAACTGATCTTTTAAGCAACCATGTTTAAACTTGCTGCATTCCTATAAGCTATAGTGCTTTCTTTATAATTAAAGGGCTTCTGGAACAGTTGAAAAGATTAACATAGAACTAGCAGCCGCCTCCCAGGTGACTAAATTAGTTCTCCTCAGGCAATGAGATCACATAAAGCCTTTGAAGTAATTCTTGTGCTTCTAAATTTTTCAATTATTTGAGTCACTCCGGTGTGTGGTGGGAGGTTGTTTACCATCATTATCATTTAGAGGTTTTTAAACATTCCAGATCTAGTTCTGGGTTTTTCTGAGAGTGCTTTTCAGTGATGTGTATATATATATATATACACACATGTATATATACACATGCACATACATATGTGTATGTGTGTATATACACATACATATATGTACATACAAGTATATGTATATATACTTCTTGCCTTTCTAAAAACTTTAATTCTGCAAAAGCTTTGGAGGAATCTGTTGTCTTGGTAATTTTGGTCAAAATGTGTTCATGTCTCAGACATGTCCCAGTGACTCTTTGGCTCAGTGAAACAAGCTGAATTCTATGCTTAGCTCGAAATTGTGCAGCTCTGAGGTTTCTTTCAGCCTTTACTTATAAAAAGCAATGGAGTATTTTTTTTTTTAATAAATCAAGTCTACCTTGCTTGATTATGTTTACTTTTTCTTTATTCTTCTTTAATTAATAGCAGAAGCTCAGCAGCTTTGTTAGGGAAAATACAAATTCACTTTGTCCTCTTTTTATTTTTATAGTTGTCACTTCAAATGACAGCGTTTCAGCAATCCCACATACTGGGTGTTTAGATTTTGAGCTGTAAATAACTTCTGTGCCTTTATCCCTTTTAAAGAAATATTTTTTTCTTTTTCTCTTCGCTTCTGACTGATTTATTTTTTTTTTTACTTCGCTTTCACTTCAGTCACAAGATGGGCCCACCAGCCTTGTTACGAGATCTCTACCCTTTGCTGCGCTTGGGGAACCCCAAAGTGGCACTTTTGCCTGGGGAAGCCTCTTTGGGGATTCGTCATTCTGCTGTTCCGCAGTGGGCTTAGCTGCTCCTCAACAGCTGCACGGGGCTCTTAGAAAGCTGGTCGCCAGCAGACCTGGTCGCCTTTGTCATGCATTGGGCTTCTCTTCTATGGCAAACAAAGAAATGGATCTTGCTGCTGCAGTATTTGACTCCCATGGAAGAAGTTTCCTTGGTAACTCCCCTGCCCTCTCTCCCCGTGGTGCAATGACTAAGCTGGGAGTCAGCCTTTCTCAGCCCTGGCCCCCTCACTTCCCTGTGCCACGCTCCCTTCAGCATACTCGTTGTTCTGGGGAGTAGTGAAGCGGGATGTCTGCTCTTCAATTTGGAATTGATTTGGCCCCGTCATGTCACAGAGACCTCTTCCATTCAGTGTGGGTTACTGTCAGAGGGGCAGGACACACAGCCCACAGTACTTAGTCCTGGTACAGTTAAGGGCTTTTGAGAGTAATTAAGTAATTTTTTTTAAGAGAATTTGAAATGGAATTAAAAACATCCTCAAAGCATCTCAAAGGATTAACCTCAGGATAAAGAAATAGAAACCTTGTTTTACCCTGGATAACCTTTCCTTTTTAAATCTATCAGAGAATCTGTCTTTTTTTTTTTTTTTAACGGGACGTTGTTACAATAGTTATATTTGTACCAAATGGTACAGTTCATTCACATTTCCCTCTTGTATTCAGAAGGAGTCTTACTGTTTTTCCTCATCCTTGCAGAAGAGTATGAGAAAAAAAACAGCCCTAAATACACTGGCGAACAGCGATGGGCCACTCCTTGAAGGAAATCTTTCAGCTTCCGAGCCATAATTAGATCAAAGCTAGGTAACAGTACTGTACATGTTGCCAGTTTGGATTAATTTCTATTGGTGAACTGTGCTATTTACAAATCAGCTGTTTCCTCCAGAGTTTTTGATGTGCTTTATCAATATTGAGACAAAATTGTTAGTTTACTTGGATAACCTGGTTTTTGTAAGAAATGTTCCATGCCACAGGTAAGATTGTTTTGTTACAGACGCTTACTCATATAAAGCAAAACAATGAAACAATATACCTGTACTGAAATCCTATAAATATGTGATGTTATGTATAGATGTTGTGTGACATTTCTTCTGTAAGAACTGCGGTCGTTGCTGCAGAGTATACTCATGCTGCGGTGTAGAATACATAAAGTCAGAAGTAATTCTCACACGTGAGCAGTTTAGCCATCATCTCTCATGGTCTTGAATACATATATAGACCAAACGCAGATGGTAAAACAGGGAGGTAACTATACAAAAGGAAGTGAGTTACTTGTGAAAAGGACCTTGGCTCAGGAGACCAGGGGAGTGTGTCTGACACCATCTCCCCAGTAACGCGTTCTGTAGAGGCCAGCGCATTGTGGCATCGCTGCCTCGGATCGAGAGAGGAGCGTGGCAGCCTGACCAAATACCTGTGACAGCAGCACGGGTGGTGAGCTCCTAAATAGACATTAGAGCAGCCGAATTAAGTTCTCTGTTTCACATCATCTCCTCACCATGCCACTGATTACACAAAAAAGTAAGAAGGTCTGCTTTTACTCAGATACGTTCCCACATGGATGCCATATCTGCTGCAGTCCCTTCATGCTCTCCTGACCCTAGAAGCAGCACATGAGGAGTTAAGTGAAGGTGCAAAGTACTAATATGTGGAGAGGACAATACAGTGTAATACGTTGTAATGTGCTGCTGTGGGCTGTAGGACTTCAAGGTAGTTGAGGGATGCTTTTGGATTTACTTTTAATGACTGCTAGATGAGTAGTAGTAGAAGACCTCAGCTTTCTTGACTAACATCAGGCATGGCAGAATGAAAGTGCTCACCTTGGAGCTATGTGTAGAAAAAACAATGGGTGGTTTTTTTAAGAAATAAAGATGGCAACTAAAATGCTTCCCTTTCTAGCTGGAAAAATAGTTACCATACAGTGTGTGTCTACTCCCTCCAACATTTCCAAAACAAAGTCTGGTAATCTGTTACCTTATTACTTATATTTTTCTGTGTTAAGTTTGTTATTTGGTCTATATATGTATTTGAAAGAAACCAGGCCTCATTGTTAGTGAGCAGTTTGGTATAGTTAGCTGACTTTTAAGAGAGCTTTCTGATTGCTCTTGTTTAAGAAAAAGTAGTGATTCAAGCTTATGATTGGCATCAGAAGTTTAATATTCTATCTCAGACAAACTTCTGTAAGCTACATTATTAATATTTGTTACGTGATTTTGTCTGTCTTGCTACGGTGTTGCTGTTAACAGGGAATGGAGGAACATGATGATTAAGAATAGAGAATTAACTAACTCTACATAGCATTCACGTAGAGAGTGATTGGTAACGTTGATTTGAATCATGCTTATAATGCTTTTGTATCTTAAATACCATGACGTAACCTCCATACCTCTATACTTGGAATTATATGCGCATTTAGTGCAAAGAATTAGATGAACCCATTAGGGAAAGTGCTGTGCTAATTTTCTTTTAGTTTGTGGACGTGTTCCAGGGTCTTGTCGTGCAGCTGGGGTGTTACCATAGTCCTGAGTATCTCCTGAGTGGAACTGCCGATTCTGCCAGAGTGTGGAGTGCTAATGTGGTACACATAAATTTTAACGGACAATTAAACCAAGATAATATTGTGATGTGTAGTGTAGATGCTACATGTGACTTAAGCGAGCCCGAAGTCAGATACTGCTTAGAAGTACAAAGCAATTGCATCAAATCTGTGGAACTTTCATCTACTAGCATGGACTGGCTGTAAGGAATTGCCTCTCTTTCGAAATACTGGGCAAAGTCCTTGAAACACTTCTGTCTTAAAATTCCCCGTAAGACCTGACTAAAGAAGTTCAGAAAGATGTGCCAGGAGAAATTGCAAAATGAAATATAAACCTGATTTAAACCAATTCAACTTGAAAGCAGTCCTCTATGTCTTCATCTGTTCTCTGAAGAGCCCATTATCAGGTTTAGAGATTTTATGTAAAATTATGCCTGGTTCTGTAGGTCCAAAAGTGGTTGGTTGCTCAACAACATGAGGGGTTGTTCCTTTGCATGAATCAAATAGCCAGAGTGGTGATCTAGTAAAAGGCATTGTTGTACCAAGGGCACATTGGCCCTATAAAAAAACACAGTTGTAGACTTTTACCTTCAAAATCATCTATTTACTGGGTATTTGTCTTTTTTTTTTTCTTTTTTTTCGTCTTTAACAGAATGCATCAAGGCACTATCAGGAGCACATCTCGGAGTTCACACCTCTTGCCTGTCTGAAAAGCCCAAGATATAGGAGCAGTGACTGCAGCAGTTCCCCAGCAAGAAGGTCTAATTCTCATTCTAAAAAAATGATGTTTACGCACTGGAGAGGTGTTGATTATTCAGTACTTCCATCTGTCTTTGGCTATTCAAATAAGAATTCCCGCTCCAGTGCAGGCTACCGCTACAGTGGGTCAGGTTTGGAGACGTCTGTATGACAGAACACCAAGTCAAGCCTTTAAAAACTGTTGGTTTGTTTATTTCTTTTTTCAGGAAACAAATATGTCACAGAAATATATTAAACTATAGGTGGCTTTTGCTGTCTGAGATAGTATTCAGACAAACAGGATCAAGAGCTAGAAGTATGAACCCTCCCAGGCCAATAGGCCTCTTTTTATGTTTTGAACTACTGGAGCAATGAACAATCTGCACAGTCTGGTACTGTGAGACTGGTAGCACTAAAAATTCTCTTCATCCTATGTCAAGACTTTTGTGCATTTACTGCTTCTGTCACCTTTAGTCATTTTCTTTGTTACTTGAAATGTATAGTTTCAGTCAGTGACTTACGTTTTGAGATCAAGAGTTTCAATTTTCAGCCAGAAGCAATGACCTCAGTTATCTCCAATGAAAGTCTCCTAAAGCATATTTAACAAGTGCTATTTCTGATTTTCCTCTGTTCTTTTTGTTTCTTTGCTTTCTCTGTAGAACAAACTGGTGTTTCCTCTGTGCAAATCTGCTTTCAAGAAACACTCTCTAATGTTCACTTCCTTGTAAGTGGCCAAATCAGGGCAGTGTCTGGTTTTCAGTTAGTTTTCCCCTGTAGAAAGATAGGCAAGACAGTCCTTGTCTAGAGTATGTGTGCACTATATGAAGTCAAGTTGGCTGTTAAATAGGCAATCAATGTTGATATCTACTCAAAAACGGAATGTAAGCATTTTGCCTAAAAGGTCTCTCTAAATTTCTCAGAGATGCAGGTTATGCAGTGTTCCCGCTGCCTATCCGCGTAATTGTAAAATATGCATAGCAGAAAGTATTATAATATTAAGCTTTTTTTGACAGATTTTTTTTCCTTAAAAGAGGAAAAGCTGTTTTTCCAAACAAATCCAAATCCAGACTCATCCTCTTAATTTTGATTTTTCTAATATTTTTTTTTTTTTTTGGTGTATGGTTAAATACTGTGTAATCGGCTTGGTACACGGCACACAGCTGTTAATTTAGGCAAGCAAACCACAAGGTGGCACACGGCTGTTTACTAACAGTTGAACCATAGGTGGGATTAGAAACTACTTTGACTCAAGGATTCTATTTCAATTACTTTAAGAATGACAGCCAACTTGTGCTTCTGTTTTCTCTGCTACATTTATGTTACCTTGCACTAATTTGACTGTTAGCTGTGTCCTTGTCTTGTTTCTTTAGTCCAGTGTTTTATTTTGGGGTGCAAAAATATCTGGAGGAGTAATCTGATTTCAGTCAATTTCAGCCTGATGGTTAGAACTGGTTAATAAAAATAGTCATTAAATACCTCTGGCAGGACATTAGCTAAAAATTTATTCTAATGTGAAAACAAAATATTTGGAATTGCAGCTGCAGCCCTTTAATGAAAGATGTGGCCAAGATGTTGTTAGTTGTCTTTCAAATGGACTAGGGTGGCAGAGAAAAAACATTTCCCTTTTAGGATTAAAAAAAAGCAACCAAACCAAACAGAGGCAAAATTATTAACTTACTAATTTACTTTTTATTAAAAGGCAAAACAACTTAATAGGAAATGCCCTCACCATAGTCCAAGTGATTTTCAGATTTAACAAACAGCAAAACACTATTAAAATGCCCTGGGACAAACAGAGACTGGAAAGTGAGTTGCTAAATTTTCAGTATACCAAAGATAAGAGATTTTTAAAAAGGTCTAATGGTGAGCACCACAGATGAAGGTCTTTTTACCATTTACCATGTAGCACTTTTACATTTGAAAGAATGTCCTCATAGCAGTTACATTTTGAAATACATACATACGTGAGTGGGTGTGTGTACGTATACTTGCCATTGCAGACTTGAATGTTGGTCAGTTAGAGCCATCCCCTGCATAAAACACTGGTGTATATATTTTTAAGAAGTTAATATAGGTATAAATTTTATACCAGTAGCAGTGACAATTTTCTTGTGTGTAGTTAACAAATTATTTGTAATGTATTTTTTAGAAATCTTAAAATTGCCTTTGCACTGAAATATTTTTCATACTGTAGCTATTTATAAATCTGTTTTACGCATACATTTGTTAACACACCATTTCTATTTTTTTTAAGTATATGTTTTGAAGGCTTTTTTTTATACTTATGAGTTTTGGCCACTTGAATTTAGCTTAACGTGCAGTTGTGGCTGAATGTTAAAATTGTAATGAATGTCAAATTGAAAATACAGATCTATTGCTCTGTCCATCTCACCAAAACTATCACGTTTTGTTGGTATTTGTGATAGCAACGATTAGAGCACTGTACTGTCAGTGCTATACTATTACTGCTAGCATTTTTTACTCTGTAAAGCCTCCTGCTTTTTTACTTCTCTTGAGTTCCATCTTTCAGCCTTAAATAAGGAGATTTTTGCTTGATGTTTTTGAAAATGCTGCATTCCTGTTCTGCCTATTAACAAAGCAGTTCATTGCAAAGTTTATGTAGCTGTGCACTTGGAAATTATTAACAGTGTTATTCAGGCTGAAACACCTGTATAAGTGCTTGGGAAATTTTAGTTCAACATGTCATTTTTCAGAGGACAAGAAGTGCTTGAATTTAAGCAGAAGTTTCTGCTTTGATTTAGCAATACTTTTACGTTTTAAAGTTGGTACTCTTTGTTTGTTAAAGTTAGGCTGTTCCATGGAAAAACATGAAGTATCGACCTGGTGTCACCTGGCATGCTTTTGCTTCAGTCCCCGTTACTCTTGCCATGCAGCAGATGTTAACTTAGCGTTTCGTTGTAAACAGATCAGATGATACAGAGATGAAAAAGTAGAAGTTAGATAAAAATGCAGTAGGATGTTTTTATTATGGATGGGACGCTGGAAGGAGACAGATTTTTATGTATTTAAAAAAAATACTTAAAGGGGGAAAGTATAAAAATCTCTATAACTTCCTAACTTGCCTTGTTTAAATTGTTGCAGCTTTAACAGCATAGTGTCTCCATAACTGCTTCTCTAAATGTCTTGAAAACTGGTAAGCGCTAAACCAAATGTATGTGAAGACTTTAGAAAGTATTTCCAGCTTTTCGGCCACTGACGTCCATGTATTCCTGCAGTGGCTTGTGGCAAAAGATTTTTTTTGTTTTATCATGTACAGTAATTGTTTGTTCAGCCACTTAATGTAAAAGCTTACAGTTTACTTTCTTGCTTGCGTTAGCCTGTTTGTCTTGACCCAGCTGGCTTGCAAACATAAAGGAAACAAATAGCTTAATTGGCAGCTGCACTACTTTTCCTTTGGAAGCCAGTGGGATCATTGTGCTCATGCTACTGTCTCTGTTGAAAAAGCTTTAATGGAAATTTGTGAAAGTATTATGAAAGTGACAAAGTGCGTGATTCTACTTTGCAGAATAATCTAAAATCAGTTTATATAGCTTTATTTTTTTTTACCTTATGAGAATTCACAGAATTTTAATCTGCATTGTCTGTTACATAAATCATGTGCTATGTACAAATCTAATTTTATGTGTCCTTTTGTCGTCTAACGTAAAGTAGAATCTGCGAAAGTTGCTGTATGGGGGCTGGGGGTTAGTTATCTGTGCATTAAACATTAAAGATGTCTGTAGTCATCAGCACCAAGTACTGACACTTACTTTTAATTGTACAATGATAGGTGCATTTGTTTGAAAATAAATCAGCCTTCAAATTTAACGTTTAGATTATCCTATACCACTTGATTTATTTGATTTGAAGAGTCAGTGCGTGAATATATCACTGTAAAGTTTCTTTTCAGTGCTATTTTTAACTTTTATTTCTGTAGATAACCAAATACAACTTGTTTATATTCAGTTACATTTTGGTTCCTTACGTAGAATATATAAGCAGGAGACACGAATCTGCTTGCAATAAATATAAACAATCAAAACTGGTTTCAGTTTGCTCACAAGTAATTAAAATAATTCTAGTAAGAATATGAGATGGTTTCATATTAGTCTGTAATAAAATGTAAGTAGATAACAGAAAACGGAATGAGTGTTTGGTTCTGTTACTGAATGTGCTTGTAGTCACATTTATTTTCAGAGAGTATATGTAACCAGCTATAAAAGCAACCTAACAAAAAGGGAAATTCAGAGAAAGCTGGAACTTGAGCCGTGTGTGGGATTCGCTGCAAGGGGAATAAGAATTGTTACTCGTCCAGGAGAGCTTTTTTCCTCCCGCACAGATTGGATAAGTGCTAAAGTTCTTTCCAAACTAAACTCGTAAACTGCACATGAGAAAATCTGTGTTTCCTTATGGTTTTACTCTGTGGGGTACCCAGAGCTCGCTCTCCTTTCTTTTGCAACGTTAGCAATTTAAAGAAACTGAATTCAAGGCGAGACCAATGCACTTGGGCAGCAGTGTTCCCATATTCTTAAAAAAGAGGCTGAGGGCACAGAAATACCAACATTTTCTTTCATTAGATATTACAATATTAAGGGACTTTCTGTAGTTTCAAACCTGTTCCAGACCATACATTAGCGGGACGCAGCCAGGCGATGACGGTGCAATGGGGTCGGTGCCTTCCTCCTCCACCCCGAGGCTGGGCAGGACACTTCAGTGCTTTGTTTCTATATTGATTTTGCACTTCCTGTAATAGAGATTTCGGAGTAACAGTTTTACATTTCTGTGAGCTTTTTAGCCAAACAACAAAGCATAGTTTACTGCCCATCTCCCTTTTGTACATTCAAGAAATTTGTGTTTCTATTGGATGAGTAAAAGGTGGTTTTAGGGGAAAAGGTAAATGCATCAGTTGCAATTAGAAACACTACATGGAAACTTAAAAAAAAGTGATGATGCATCTGGTTATCAGGGGGAATACAGTAGTAAGAGGAACAAATTATCTGATAAGTAGACAACTTTATTGCATGTAAAAATATGTTTATTTAAAGGAAGAAAGAATAGTTGAGTTGTTTCTGAATAGTATTCTCAACTGAATGGTATGTGTTCCTTTGGCTCTTTAAATGATGCTCTTTTAGCAAGTTACATTGTGGAATTAATTGAAAACTGTTTATCTTCTTCAATGAAACTACATTTTTGTTCTGCAAGGTATGCTGAAGGTTTTTTTGATATGAAGTGAGATTGGTTGGAGACAGACTGAAAGGTCTTCATTTTGTTTTCTGATTAGTCCGATTTCCTCAGGTGATACTCTACCGGAATTTAAAAATAGTATTTCACCATTGTAATAAAGCTTTGTTGTTGCTGTGTGTTTCCATTACACATACTTAGAGGTCTTTTAATTTCACTCAAATGCTAAAGCAAAAATCA